GTAAGTTTTGCAATGAGATCAACACGTGTCTTGTGCTTCGTCGTGTTCGAGTGTTTCGTTTTGCTTTGATTTTTGTGTTTTTGTTTGTTTGTTTGTTTGTTTTTGAATAGAACGTAATATGGAAATGTTTTTGTTTTTGTGTTCGTATTTTGCGTCTGTGTTGTTCGTTCTGGTGTATTGTAAGTATAAAAGAGGCAATTTATCATTACTTTTATCAGTAATACTATGAATTCATCAATATTAATGCTATTACTTTTATGGTAATATTAGCATTATAGATTATTGTTATTATTATTATTACCATTTTTATTACCGCCATCACTATTATTATATCATCGCTATTATTGGTAATGATAATAATAATGATGATGAAAATGATAATGATCATAATACTAATAATGAGGATAATAGTAATGAGGGTAATAATGATAATAATAATAACAATAATAAGGATAATGATAGCAACAACAACTACAACAACAACTACAATAATGTTTATAATTGTAATAATAAAAATTATATTATTATCATTATTATTATTTTTATCATAACTATTACTATTATTATTATTATTATCATTATCATTATTATCATTATTGTTTTAATCATTATTATTATTATTATTATTATTATTATTATTATTATTATTATTATTATTATTATTATTATTATTATTATTATTGGATAATAATGATAATAGTAGAAATAATAACGAGGAAAATTAAACAACTAATAATGATGATGATAATAATAATGATAGTAATGATGATAATAATGATAATAATTATTATTATTATTATTATTATTATTATTATTATTATTATTATTATTATTATTGTTATTATGATTATTATTATTATTGCTATTATTATTATTATTATTATCATTATTATTATTGTTATTATTATTATTATTATTATTATTATTATTATTATTATTATTATTATTATTATTACTGCGACTGTTATTACTGTTATCGTTATTATTATTATTATTATAGTTGTTATATTATTACCGTAATCATTATCATCTTCATAATCATTATCATTATTATTCCTATTACCATTATTACCATTTTTACTATTATCATTATCATTATCATTATTTATATAATATCATTATCAAAATTAACATACAATCATTATCAATATCATCATTATCATCAATATTATCATCATTATTATTGCTATCATTGATAGATAGATAGATAGATAGATAGATAGATAGATAGATAGATAGACAAACATACTGAATCCGCCATCATAGAGCAACCAATGCCAATAGTCTCTCTCTAATCCACAAAGTATCCAACATTTAAAAATACTGCATTTTCATCATCATAAAATGCCAGGTGCGTAACTCCCCTGCATAATATATGTAATACGCTTAATCGTATAACAAAACACAGCACACTATATTTCTGAAACATATTAATGATTTTTGACGTAGGTTACCACATACAACCAGACGAACATGTATTGTGTGAACATAGACAAAGGCTTCCAACCAGATGTCATTTTCAGTTTTTAATTATATGTAGAATAAAGTACATTTGAGAAGGAGGAAATTCACGACGCAAAAGATGTAGATGAACGCGCTTCGATTACGCTTTCATCAAAGTATATCAGATTTTTTTTTTTTTTTTTTTTCTAAATTTGTCATTGTGAATTCTGTTTTTTGTATAGATCCACGTGTGCTGCTGCGCGTAGTTTCCTAGTATTGCCTAATAGCTCGCTCAGTCCTTCCGGTTATCCTTTAGTTTTATTTTCATATCTTTTTGTTTCTTTAACTCTTGTTCTATCTTTCTGCCTTTCTCTCTTCCTCTCTCTCTCTCTCTCTCTCTCTCTCTCTCTCTCTCTCTCTCTCTCTCTTTCCCTTTCTTTCTTTATATCCATCTACCTCTCTCTCTCACTCTCTCTCTCTCTCTCTCTCACTCTCTCTCTCTCTCTCTCTCTCTCTCTCTCTCTCTCTCTCTCTCTCTCTCTCTCTCTCTCTCTCTCTCTCTCTCTCTCTCTCTCTCTCTCTCTCTCTCTCTCTCTCTCTCTCTCTCTCTCACTCTCTCTCTCTCTCTCTCTCTCTCTCTCTCTCTCTCTCGGAATCCCTCTCTTCCTCCTCTCTCTTCCCCTCTCCTCCCTCTCCCTCTCTCCTTCCCCCCCCTCTTCTCTCTCCCTCCAGCTTCTCCCAATCTTCTCTCTCTCACCCTCCATCCTCATCTCCTCTTCCTCACAGCGTGTGGGGCCATCCGCTCATCCTCTCCTTCTCATCCCTTCCTCCTCCCTTCTCCCTTCTCTCTGTACTCTCTCCTCCTCCGGTTCCACTCTCTCTCTCCTGCCTTCCTCGTCCCCTCCTCCCTCCTCTCCTTCCTTCCTCTCTCCTTCTCTCCTCTCTCTCTCTCTCTCTCTTCTCTCTCTTTCTATCTATCTATTTTTTCTATCTATCCTGTCCTCCTTCTCTCTCTCTCTCTCTCTCTCTCTCTCTCTCCTTCTTCTCTCTCTCTCTC